TCCTATGCCAGGATAATGGGAACATGGCCATCCTATGCCAGGATAATAGGACAGGGCCATCCTATGCCAGGATAATGGGAATATTGCCATCCTATGCCAGGATAATGGGAACATTGCCATCCTACACTGGGATAACAGGGACAGGGCCATCCCACATCAGGATAACGGGGACATGGCCATCCTATGCCAGGATAATGGGAACATGGCCATCCTATGCCAAGATAACAGGACAGGGCCATCCTATGCCAGGAAACCAGGACAGGGCCATCCTATGCCAGGATAATGGGAACATGGCCATCCTATGCCAGGATAACGGGAACATGGCCATCCTATGCCAGGATAATGGGAACATGGCCATCCTATGCCAGGATAATGGGGACATGGCCATCCTACGCCAGGATAACGGGAATATTGCCATCCTATGCCAGGATACCAGGACAGGGCCATCCTACCTGGCCAACTCCGCGCTCAACATCCCTTTTCCCTGGCCCCCGAGGTTGGAGTCGCAGTTTTTCCCTGTTTTTGGGATCCGGCTCCGGCCGGGATGGGGCCGAAGCCGAGCCGCGCCCCGGGAAGGGGATCGGCCGCTCCCCCGGAATGGGGGGACACGCGGGCACCTGCTGCCCCTGCCTGCAGACACGGGGCCTCCTGCCGGATCCGGGGCTGTTCCCGCATTCCCAGGGAACAACAAGGAGCCAAAGGCGCTTCTTTTCCTCTTCGCCTGGAGGAGGAGGAGGAGGAGGAGGAGGAGGAGGAGGCGAGTTTTCCTCTCTCTCCGACGCCCGTTACACCCACCGGGATTCGGCTCCGGATCCACTCGGAGCGCGATCCCCCCGCGCTCCGGAGACCCCGCGGGCCCTTCCCGGCTCCGTCCTGCCATTCCCGGCGCCGGCGAGGCCTCGAGCGATCCCAATCCCGACCCCGAGCCCAATCCCGACCCCTCCGCGCGCTCCGTCTCGGCTCCGGAGGTCGGCCGGGCTGTGCTCCGCCGCTTCCCGAGGGAAGAGGAGGAGGGAAAAAAGGGGGTTGGGGGGGGGGTCAATGGGAGGGTTTGTCACGGGAATGGGATGCACTCCCCGATCCCGGGGGGGTTCCTCACTCCTGGAGCTGCCCCGGCTCTGGAAATGGGGGAGAATTCCCCTCCAGGTGGGTCCGGAGCCGTCCGGGTTGGACCCAATCCCGGCAGGAATCTTCCTGCCCTCCCTGGACGAGGGGCTGTGGTGTCCCCCCCAAGGCCTCGCTCGGGGGTGGGGGGGGACTTTGGGAAGCTCCAGCTTTGGCGGTTTCCGGGCTGCGATCCCGGAACGCCGGCACAGGGCTGCGAGGTGGGGGGGGGAATCAACGGGAAAAAAAAATCCCCAAAATCCACCAGGAGGGGTCAAACCGCCTGCAGAGGAAAGAGCTCCAGGATTTAAGGATAAGGAGGCAGCGAGCGGCTCCTCCGGTGCCGGCGCTCCGGGACGAGGCCGCTCCGGGCGCTCGGTGCCGACGTTTTCCCGGACTCACCTTGAGGTATTTTTCCAGCATCTTGACGATGTGTTTGTTGTTCAGGACACTCTTGGCCACGTGTAAACTGGTCTTCTTGAACTGCTCCGCAGCCATCTGCAGCGGGATGGGGAGTCAGGCTCCGGAGGGGGAGAATTCCAATGGGATCGGGGGTTTGGGTTCCCTCCTCCTCCTCCCCAGGGTTTGGGAAAGCCGCCCTCCCATCCCACAAAACGGGGATGGATGGAGGGATGGAGGGATGGATGGAGGGATGGATGGATGGAGGGATGGAGGACCTGCCTCACTTCCACTAAGTCAAACCCTGGGGGAAGCTGTGGATGGGCTGAACATCCCCCAGATATCCCGGGATTGGGTCTGGATAACGTGTCGGAGACGGAGCCGCTCCGGAGGAGCCGAACGACATTCCCGCATCCCCATCCCCGGCATCCCAACCCCTTCCCAGCCCAGTTCATCCATCGGCTCCATCCCATTTATCAGCTCCCCAAATGCCCTCCGAGCCACCCCTCATTTGCATTTTTGCATATTTAATGAGGCAGCCCCTCCCCTGGGGAACAATCTCGTTTCATCCCCCAAAAAGGCTCCGATTTCCCTTTTCCCGCCCCTTTTCCCGCCCCTCTCCCCATTTTTCCACCTCCTAAGGAAGGAGACGAGCCCTGCCCAGCCCATCCCACAGCTCTGGCTTGGCAGATGGTTCCCAGCGGGATTCCGGAGCTGTCCCCGAGCCCCGCGCGCGCGCTCCGGAATTCCCGCCCTCCGGAATTCCCGCCCTCCGGAATTGCCGGGCTCACCCTGCGGTTCCGGTTGTGGTC